ACTACTATCACCACTACTACTACTACTTTCTACCCGAGAGGAAACACATTAGCTCCAGATCTCTGTTGTTGACCTACGTTGTTTTACATCATCTGGGCTGTGAAACGGCAGCAACGCTTCCCAGGGCCTTCGGAGGAAGCAAGCTTTTAATCCCATTTTTGGTTCTTTGTAAAACACAGGAAAGGTTTCTCTTTACCTTGCGTCAGCTCTGAGGATGTTTTGCAGTCGGCAAACGAAACGTTAGCAAGGTAAAGAGAAACCTTCCCTGTGTTTTAAAAAGAACCAAAAATGGGATTAGAAACTAGACACAGTGAGAACACACTAAAGAAGCTTTTAATCCTTTCATCAGTAGATGAAAACATGAACAAAATCCAAGTTAGATCACTTCTGATCGGCCTAATCAGCTCAGATGAATGAATGATGGATGGATAATTGGATAGATAGATAAAGGGAGGGACTGATGCATCCTGCTGTTGGTTGTTGGTGAAGTGCGAGCTCACCACAAAGGTAAGCTAACCAGGCTCCTTCTCAAAATATGTTAGAAAACACACACACACACACGCACACACACACACACACACACACACACACACACACACACACACACACACACACACACACAGAAGAACACTCACAGCACTCATCGTTAACAACACACTTCTCCGTCTCCTCCGTGTTGAGCTGGCAGAGCGAACCGTCCTCAGGATACTGCTTGACGTACCGCTCCCTGGACCTCATCCCCATCCCACAGGAGACGCTGCAGGCGGACCAGCTGATCCACTCTGACATCATGCACGTTGAAGGCTCTGTCCACCAGGAAAAGACACACATGCTATCAAAGACCATTTTTCTTTTTTAATTTGTGCCAAGCTCACAGCCAGAGTGTTCCCAGAAGACGTGATCAAAGTTGGGTACGGAGACACAAACACAGAGAAATAAAGCGACAGGAACCACAGCTGCTGCGTGATGACTCGGGATTTATTTTTGTTTTTTAAAGTTCTTAATGAACTCTTTTGACTTGTAACTGGACTTCATTAAATATTTAGAGCACCTGTTTCATTTAGAGGACTTTAAGCACATGTGGACTTTTTGCACAATAGAGTAGAAGTACAGGGAAGCCTATGGGCAGACGGAGGCAGCATCTGCATCATTTCCAACTCTCCATTTGGACATGCGCTGTGACCAACACAACTAAGTGGCTGAAATGAGATTCCTGAGGTTGGACTCGACCTCAGATTAAAAGAGGAGGAGCTCTGGGTAGAGACGGTATCAGCTGGTGGTGGTCGGAGGGACCGGTGGCGCCTGTGCTCGGCAGCCTCGCCTCTGACAGTACGCCCCAGGGCAGCTGTGGCTATATATCTACCGGGGCGACGGTGGCACAGGAGTTGAGCGCTCGCCCCGCAATCGGAAGGTTGCAGGTTCGAGCCCCGCTCAGTCTGTCGCTGTCGTTGTGTCCTTGGGCAAGACACTTAACCCACCTTGCCTGCTGGTGGTGGTCGGAGGGACCGGTGGCGCCAGTGCTCGGCAGCCTCGCCTCTGTCAGTGCGCCCCAGGGCAGCTGTGGCTACATTGTAGCTCATCCCCACCAGTGTATGAATGTGTGTGTGAATGGGTGATTGTGTTGTAAAGTGCCTTGGGGGGTTCCAGGACTCTAGAAGGCGCTATATCAAATACAGGCCATTTACCATTTTTGTGTCTTTTCAACAGTAACCTGGACTTTCCACCTGACGTGAAAGCGGAGGGTAACGTAACAGACGTATTTTACCCGCAGCCTCAGCGGTTTGTCTCATCCCATCAATGCACATCAGATCTCACGTGATTCTAGCAGTTCACATGGTAACGAGCACGGAGAAAGACGGTCTGTCCAGAAGGTCTGCGGTTTCTTTTCTTTTCCGTGTTCCTCGGTCGCCGGGCATCACGATGGCTTTTTATTTTTACTAATAAAGCAATTGGAAAGCTGCAGGTGGCTTTTATTTTGAAAGTTACCAGATGTTTAACACTGCTTTATGTTCGGCTTCCTGTCCAGCCCACTCTCAGCCGCGTTCTGGACACGAAGCATTAATGGAGTGGAGCAACGCATCAATATGCTTCTGATACGCGTCCAAATCGTGTCACTTTGTGGCCGGTGGAAATGCACCCAGGGACATACGGATGAATATTTGCTAGCTTTGCCTGCCAGACTCGTCCTCTGTTTAGTTCTGCACAGATAACTAGTCTGGTTACTCACAGGCAGAGAGGCGGGACTAGCCAGTTCATAAATAACCAATCAGAAAAATGGCAGAAATGCCGCCTGTACCGGGCGACACTGTACTTTCTCAGCTGTAGTCAAAAATGGCGTCTGGCGACGGCCCAAACGTCTTTTTTTAGAAGAAAGGTTTTAGCTCTTCTTGTTGTGGGTTTAAAGCACATGTGTCAGAGTCAAGGCCCGCGGGCCAGATGCGGCCTGTGGAGCATTCTTATGTGGCCCGCGAGATAAAGATCAAAAATATATTAAAACTGGCCCACTGGCTGATTTTACCGCAAATACTTCAACTCCCATGATGCTTTTCAGTGTCAGCGCAGAGTCGACGCGCCCCCTCCTTTGTGTTTTTCCAGCGTCTGCTGCCGGTGTCTGCAGCTCCGCTGTCTCTGACAAACTACACTCCTCTCACTCAGCGCCGAGTTCACTCAGCTATTTTCTGACGTTGAAGCCCAGAAACGGAGATTCTAGCCGCTCAGTAACGTGTTCACGACTGAAAGAAAAAGTGTTCCAACTAATGTCCAGACAGAGCTGATATAACTCCAGCGAGCAGCGACACGCTCAAACCACTTTGATTCTGTGGTTGTGTTTCCTCCCCGACACACAACAACGTGGTCAAGCTGCTCAGACATGTTCATCAGCACAAACCTATGTGAGCACCTGTTGTCATCTAATGTTGTCATTATTATGATGAAGATGAACAAAACAACAGGAGTCTCCTCCTCAGCTCAGATCAACCCCATGATGCAGGTATCTGGCTGGAACAGGTGAGCATCACAGTAAACCAGTGGAGCAAACTGAGCTTTAAATATGTTGGTTTTCTGCTCTTTTTCTGCTCCAAAACATGAAAGTTAACAGGTGAGATGTTGCATTTTCATTTAAGATAAAATGATATTTTTATGTTGTTGTTGGCCCGTGAGAAAAGATTTAACCTACAGTAAACAGGAAGTGGAAAGGCTGCAGATAGATGAATAGAATAGAAAATCCCTTTATTGTTCCTCAGTGGGGAAAGCTAGACGTCACAGCAGCGATGACACGTATTACAGGAGAAAAAAGGAGAATAAAAAATAAGAAAAATGAATAAACAAGAAAACATAAATCCTGAATAGATTTAAAAATGCTGATTATACCACAAGTAATGAATACCACTGATGCCTTTTATCTAAAACTGACTTGCTCGTGTGTCATTTGGTTATTCCACATTCAGTGTTAATGCAGAAATATGTTTGTTTCCAAATTTAAAGGTTCAAAACTGCATATATGTTGATAAAGAAAATGTGCAAATTTGCCGTCACTTTTTCAAAAATATTAAGTTTGGCCCTCGACTCCGTCCCAGAGTTTCATTTCGGCCCCGTGTGAGTTTGAGTTTGACTCCCCTGGTTTAAAGACAAGTTCAGGCCATTTAGAACAGAAGAAAGAGCAGCAGCAAACTCCGCTTCTGTCGCCATGTTTACGAGAAACTCGTGGTTGTGGTGTGTGACGTACGCTGCTCAGCACTGATTGGCTCTGTTAGAATTCTCAGGGGGCGGGGTTATTTGAATAAGAGAGTTCCCAGACCCTTTGTTTCTCATTAGGAAGCATGGGGCTGGCTGGTCAGGCTAGATATTTGCTGCGGACGACGATTCACGGACGTTGCGCAACAATCACACATCTGGTGGAAAACCAGACGTTTTTAAAACAGTTGGAGATCATCTCCATTTCTCAGAACTGAGGTTGTGCAAAAATCCATCTACAGCAGGTGAGATAATAACCGTTCCCCTGAACCCCTCAAACCCATCCGCTGCCTTAATCCTGGATTCAACCAAGGACCCGTCGTCCGACTCCTTCCTGATCGGCCGGATCTCCGCCTCTAAAGGTCACGTTAGCATTCTTCATGATGGATAACGCAGACGGGAATATTTGCACCTGTCTTCTGTTTAAAGAACACCGCCCTTTTTCACTAGACCTGATTTCTCTCATTAGATGCTCAGACTTCGGCTTCACTCAGCTCAAAGTTCAAAGAGCCGTTTTCAAAGAGCTCGCTCTCAGAAAACGCTCCGGCTCCCTTCACATGAGGCTGGCTGCCTGAGGGAATGTCCTCTTCACAGCAGGGGGCCCGAGGGAGAGAAAGTCAATACGTATGACCTCGGCGTGTTTCAGGTGAAAGGTGAACTGCAGGTCCTCGAGCCGAACAAGGCTTTGCTCTGTCGTATTTTATCACTATTACCCAGCGGAGCTTCTGCCCGTTGTTCTCTCCCAAAGCGAAGTCTGGCTGCCTCTTACCTCCCACCCCTTCAATCTTCAGAGAGCCGCGGAGAAACCGTGGAGTCTGGCGGAAGGAAGCTGTCATGAGAGAACAAACCCTGTATACAGAATATTTTCTTCGATAATGATCAATGAACTCTGACAAACCTAAATGGACTTTCTTTGACTAACAGCTCCTGACTCCCATAAACTCCCAGCTAACGGAGAACGATGCTGCTCGCCAGCTGCGGCCTAATAAAGCAGAACTAAGTGAATCATTAATAAAAGATACAGGTATCTCAGGCTCACGTGAGGCCTCCAGAGAGCCAGAGCATTTCCCTGGAATGTTAATCACCCTCAGTGCTGCTCCCCATGCCGGCCCCCGGCACAAGCCCCGCAACGATCAATCTCCCGCCGCACGCTAACGGAGCGCTAAACGAAAACAAAGGAGAGGAGATCTGGAATAAAAAGCTATCTGTGTTGCTGGCTGATAATCGATACCAGGCGTGGTGGAGGGTGAAAGTCTGCACTGAGGCGGCGAGGAGCTCCTTCAGCCTTGAACCGTTTCACTCGTCTGATTACTGCCGGACATTCCGAGTGAAGGAAGATGAGGGAGGAAGTCGCTGCCTCGCAGCGTTTGTTCCCCACGGACAACGTCACCGAGGATTGAACCAAAGTAAACTCCCGGCGCTTTGTGATCACGCACGTGTGCAGCAGAGACACGACGCAGGCTAAAACACACGTTGAAGCTCATTTGTTTTAGATGCTTGCAGAGATGTGCGAGTTATTAAACCTGTTTGTGTTTTAAGCTCCCGAATCCCAATTAGGCTCCTGAAAACATCCCCAGTCCACAGTTTGTTCTCCCAAGCTTTGACAACGAAAGCATGTGTTGATCTGATTTTAAGAAAACAAATCCTGACTTCGGCAGGAAGTCACTCAGCGTTAACAGCTAATCCACACAATCCCTCAGTAATTAAAGTAAACGAACAACCAGGAATTTTTGGGATTTTGTGTATTTTGTCAGATGATCAGATTTAGTGAGAGTAGCAGAGCCACTTAAACCTTTCAGTGTTGGTTCGTTAAAGTTTATTATTTTAGAAAATCCCACTAGTATCGCAGGTTTTCCTCTTTTACTCCGTACTTTACTGAAATGTGAAGCCAGTTAGGCCTTTTGCAGATGTGAGTCCCCTCTACCAGCGTCCAACCTAAAGTCCAACCTTCTCAACCCCCACACACAGTCAATTAACCAATTAGGAGTGAAGAAACCAACATAACCCAGTGGTTTAAAGGTGTCCTAAACGTCATCAGCACATTTATCTTGTTGTCTTGTTGTCTGTCGTCTTC